AGAGAGACGGAAAATGATTTGAAAACATAGAAGAAAGGAAATATGAAGAAAAGCGAATATAGTTATTGAAAATTTAAAACATGGTAAACTTTTTCATTCAATATTTTCACTACACATCATTTTCAATTATCACTTATATACTATTTTTATGTACATGTGGCAAAATTCTTAATTCAAAATGTGCACACATAGATCTATATTATAAAAATTTGCAACTCGAAGTTGTAGACAAAAGTCGTTGTAGTATAGTGGTGAGTATTCCCGCCTGTCACGCGGGTGACCCGGGTTCGATCCCCGGCAACGGCGCGATATTTTTATTTTCATGCAATTTCAAATATTTTTTAGATAAACGCGCCGAAAATTTTCTCATCTCATTTCTCTCTCCAAAACACAGCCTTAGCTTCTTTCAGGTTTCTTATGTCAAGCAGGTACAGTTTCACGCTTTCTTATTTAATTTTCTTAAATTCATATGTATTTGTCTTGAATGCGTACTGTATTTATACCTAGATTAACCTCCGCATGTGTATGCTGTTGATTTTTCATCAGATCGTTTTATCGTTAGCTCAAATTTCTTTAGATACTGCTTAAATCTCTATATTGCAGGCGAATTATTTTCCTGCTCCATTGTTAGTTTTGGTCGATATTTTTAATTTTTGAGTTTCTGTAGACCGTAGCTATTCAGAGTGTTCAGTTGTTCAATTATTTGTGGATGTTTACTCTATTTTGAGTTGGTTCATCATTTATTTATTTTATTATATTTTTTATGTCTCTGCATTAAAATGCCAGAATTTAAATTCCGTTTATATGATGAATGCCTATTAATTAATAAATTAGCAGAAGTTTTACTTTAAAGCAATTAAAACGCGGTGAATATAGTATTTGGTAAGCAGAACTCCGTATGTGGAGTTTTGCTACACGTACACCGGAGTGTCACTGGGGTTGACACTTAGGTCTACACTCCCCTCACATGGGGGATCCGTACACTGGAGTGTCAACCCCAGTGTACAAATAGCATTTTTCGTGCCACTAAACACAGTATTTTCTACTGTTTCTTATGTGTTGTAAAAAGACTTTTAATAAAAGACTGCCTGAAAGTTAATGGATCTCTTAGTTGTTGAGAAGGTTGCCCAAGATAAATAGACACTACAAAACTTTATTGCATTGGAGAAGCTATACTTTGACTATCCAGTTCGTCAATATATGGTCTGTTTTCCAAATGTTCGAGGGATGTAATTTCATTTGTTTATTTCTGTCCACATGGGCAATACCGATAGACAAATAAAGAAATCAAGGAGATTTAAGAGCAATTATGATGAATAAGTTTTCTCTCTTTATCGTACAACCTTTATTGTAGTAGCATAACATTTTTTTTTTATACTGAGTGTTACGCCTCATTTTACGAGCCTCGGAACCACTCCGACCTCCCGAAGCCTCTCCGAAGTGATACACCAATTCCTGTCACTGATCTGCCGAAGTGTCCCGTCTCCGACCCCGTTAGAAGATTCGCTGCCAATTTAAGATTTGCTCTGCATATAAGGTTAAATTGATGTGACGTCCCCCATAAAGCTATTTGATGTGACTTATCAACTTTATGTCAATTCAAATCGGGGGAAACAAACTGTCCGCCCACTCTACAAGCGCGGCTGATTGACGCCTATGAGCAGACGCTTCATACCGTCAGATGTATACACGTGTTCCACATCCCACGGTTCATACCACCTATAAATACCCAAAGATTGGCCAGAGGCAAAGGTAATGAAACTCTCAATAGATAGCACTCCATAACAAGTTTATATATTCTCCTCTCCCTTTATTGACTGATTGATTTGTGTAGGCCCTGGACACTGTTCCGACCACCCAAACCTGACTTGACCGTCGGAGTGTATACGGCCGCCACCACCGTTGGTTCCGGCCGTGTGCGCCTGACAGTTTGTTCATTTCGTAGGGAGGAATACGTGGAGTAGCTACAAGTTGACCACGTGGAAGAGCCATTTTTAGAGGTCAACAGTTGGAATATCACAAAATATGAAATTTACATGTTTGGCTAGGCTTAAAATGTTTAGTTATAGTAAATAAGTAAGTTTTGAAATAAGTAGGATTTTGTTGATTGAAGTTGAAAACATGTTTACTTATTTTGAAAATCGCCCCTTACTGAATAATTATTTTTTAACTTAAAAATGTGTCGGAAAATAAAATTCACTTAAAAGAATATGTTGATTTACTTTTAAGCCAAGCCAAAACATGCTTATATGCAATTATTAGATCACACCTTGAGTTTCTTTACAAGATGTTCATATTCATCTATCTGGCAGGACATTTAATCAATATTGTCCTTCAAATCTGCATTTGACGCTCCTGGAATAGCAAGTTTAGCGAGAAGTGAACCTAGAATGTTGCCACACATCCCTTGACAATAATTTAGGTGCTGTCGTACTTTGGTGAACCAGCAATATCTAGACAAGTGCATCCTCAATGGAGGATCAAATATAAAAACATAGAACAAGAAGCATCCATAAGGTATCGAAGCCCCGTAAAAATGAATGTTATTAGAATTACCTTAGGTAAAAAAGTAAATTAATTTACATATATCTCTTTTGGGAATGTTCGGTCAAATGGTAAATAAAACTATCGCATTTTCATGACTTTGTAGTCATTTTATGGACACGGTGTATAACCGAGAGAAGAAAACTACATTACTCTGATGATTTCAAAACTCTGGGACTTTGAATCCTTCAACATCTCCTTTTCCTTCTTCAATTGTACCAGAGAAGAATATTTGAGAATCTTGATTATTATAATTGTTACCAATATAGAGATATATTTTACAATAGACAATATAGACATAATAATGACAGCTATACCACCATAACATTATTAGCAGACTGAAAAATGTCTGTGGAAAACCAGTTCTATAAAATTCTCTGGAAGTTTTTCGTGGATTAGCATCTCGATGTCCTTTAATGAGCATAAAGAAATTGTCCCATGATCAAAATAATATATAGAAGAAAAACCCAACATTCAAGAGAAAACGCCCCTAGTTATTTTGATTTTAATCTAATTTTCCTGAGTTCCAAATAAATCATTAGTAATCAATGATCCCACACAACAACACAAGTATTTACCTCTCTGTATCTTGCCGAATGTTGGAAAACTCAACATCAAAGGAGCTTTTACCAACATTGACCAATTTACCAGACATCTGCAAACAAATAACTGTACTACACTCCTCAAAAACTAACTTGTATTGTCAACAATAAAAACTCTCTAAACAAGTATAGATGTTCATGATGGCACACTTACTATTGAATTTGATGATAAAATTACTAAATTCAATATTTATGATTCCATAAAATGCTCTAATGATGATAATCTTGTTTACTCTATTAAAGTGATTGATCATTTAGAACAGAAAATTTTAGAACCTAATGAAAACAATGCAATGAAAGTCGCCATTGATAAGAATATCGAGGAGATGGATCAGGATTTACCCCTGAATACTGCCTTACAGAAACCGTTGTAGCATTGAATGCTTCTCCCAAGTTACCAAAGTCAGGTAAAAGTTTGCATAGTTTTTTGTCAATTTCTAACAAGAGACATTTTTATGTAGGTTTCCAAATGGTGGAGGTGAGAACATGGGGACTTGGAAATCCAATTGATGCCGGTTGAAGAAGGAAGCAATAAGTCTAGCCAAAGACAATAAACAAAGGCGCTGCTTGGGAGACAACCCAAGGGAAGTTCGTTCTGTTATCTTTTTATTTTTATCTTTTTATATTCATATGTTTGGTTAATGTTATCCTTTTCTTTGCATTTTATCTTACATTGGGGACAATGTAAGTTTTAAGTGTGGGGGAGGGAATTTAAGTTGAGTCTAAAATTTTCAGATCGTGTTTTTGTGTTTATTTTTGATTTTTTGATAAAAATTCGACATAAGAGGGAGAAAACAAAGTGGTTTTGAACGATTTTAGTTATGTATGCTATTTGCTAGATTCAATTAAGGTTCTGAAGAATTCATAACATGATTGAATAAGTAATCTCCCAACTTAGAGTTAATTAGTGTGGTTATTTTCTTTGAAGATAGTAGTAACTAGATTTTGTAAACAAAAAGCCGGTGAGATTTTGAGCCTTATGACTAAGATATACATATCAGTCTCACTATTTTCTTTCAAGAGTGATTTTCTTCCATGGATTTGATTCTTTAGAACTTGCCTTGATTCTCTTCGAGGCCATATTGATACATGCATGCATGAATATGATTAATGTCATCTTTGTTATGTACGTTAACCATCTAAGCCAAACAGCCTACCCTGCAATTAATTTTACCCTTTGTTAAGCCCATTTGAACTTGATTGTCTTTTCTTTTGTAAACCCATATTACAAGTTTTAAACCTGAAAAAACAATGTCTTTACCTAAGCCATAGAGCTAGTGGAGTATTGTTCATCGTTTTGATACATATGGGAGTGCGAAAGAAATAAGTGTGGGGGTGTCTAAAATTTTGGTAGGATTATGATGGTGGAACCCCTCTTATGCCCCCCATAGACAGAAGAGACGCGCGCTGAATCCGGAACGGTACGAGGCACTGAAAGACGAAGTAAGTAAACTCGATCGCAGTGGTTTCATCAGAGAGGTCATATACCCGAAGTGGATATCCAACCCGGTTCTGGTGAAAAAGTCCAGCGGGAAATGGAGGGTCTGTGTGGACTTCACAAACCTGAATAAGGCATGCCCCAAGAACAGCTTCCCACTTCCAAGAATTGATCAACTGGTCGACTCCACTGCTGGGCATGAACTATTTAGCTTCATGGATGCGTACTCGGGGTACAACCAAATACCCATGTTCCGACCTGATGAGGAAGCTACATCATTCATCACGGACAGGGGGCTGTATTGCTACAAAGTCATGCCCTTCGGATTGAAAAATGTTGGGGCTACATATCAGAGGTTAGTCAACATGATGTTTGTCGAACTCATTGGCAAAACCATGGAGGTCTACGTGGACGACATGTTGGTCAAAAGTCTCCAGGCGGCCGAACACGTGAGTCACATTGACCAAACCTTCCAGACACTCAGAAGGTATAACATGAAGTTGAATCCCCTCAAGTGCACTTTCGGAGTAGCATCGGGCCAGTTCTTGGGATACATTGTAAATCAGAGAGGAATTGAGGCAAACCCGGCAAAGGTGGCGGCTATAATAGAAATGAGTTCACCTCAGAAGCCAAAGGAGGTTCAAAGTCTCAATGGCCGGATAGCCGCCCTCAGCCGCTTCATCTCCAGAGCCACTGATAAAAGCTTGCCTTTCTTCAAAATATTGAAGCAAGGAAAGAGGTTCCAGTGGACTTCGGAGTGCCAAGAGGCCTTCGAGTCTCTGAAGAAGCACCTCGGTGAATCGCCCCTCCTATCGAAACCCCATCCAGATGAATCTCTGTTGCTGTATCTAGCAGTGTCAGATGTGGCAGTCAGCGCGGTCCTAACCAGGGAAGAAAATGAGCGTCAATTGCCGGTGTATTACATCAGCAAAGCACTTCTCCCAGCTGAAACTCGCTACTCCGACATGGAAAAACTGGCACTCGCACTTATTACAGCTTCAAGAAAACTCAGGCCATATTTCCAAGCTCACTCAATACAAGTCCTCACCAATTTCCCTTTAAGGCAAGTAATGCAGAAGACGGACGCGTCAGGACGCCTACTGAAATGGGCTATCGAGCTCAGCGAGTTCGATCTCACGTTCCGACCTAGACACGCTATCAAGGGCCAGGCCCTTGCCGATTTTATGGTCGAATTTACCAAAGCCCCAGAAATGGAGGCCCTGATGGAACCAGCCGAGCCCTCCGCATGGAAATTGTTTGTAGATGGGTCTTCAGGAGAGGCAGGCACAGGGGCGGGAATTGTACTGGAAAGCCCGGAAGGTCATTTGTTGAATTGTGCGGTAAGATTCGGCTTCAGAGCCTCGAACAAAGTAGCCGAATATGAGGCCCTTCTGGCAGGACTAAGGCTCGCCAAGGAAATGCAGGTCAGGAAGCTTCTGGCAAGCAGTGATTCTCAGCTCGTGGTGAATCAAGTAAATGGGGATTTCGCGGCCAAAGATGATAACATGCTCGCATACTTGAAGCTGGTTCTGGACATAATTCCCCATTTCGAAAAATTCGAACTGACTCAAGTCCCTCGTCTGGAGAATGCTCATGCAGATGCCCTCTCAAAATTGGCCAGCAGCGTGAACTCAGAGCTTCTGAACATCGTCCCCATTGAGCACTTATCAAAGCCCTGCACCTTCGAAGGTGAGGAGTTACTATGGATAGAAGTCACCCCATTGTGGACGCAGCCCATAATGGCATATCTAAAAGAGCAAACGCTGTCTGCTTCCAGAAGTGAAGCAAGGAAGTTAAGAAGAAGGGTGCACACTTCGTCCTTCACGAAGGAACCCTTTACAAGAGGGGCTTTGCCTCTCCCCTTCTTCGATGTGTGGGCGGCGAAGAGGCCACCTACGTACTCAGAGAAATACATGAAGGGATCTGCGGAAATCACTCCGGAGGGACGGCTCTGGCACACAAGGTCCTCCGTCAGGGCTACTTCTGGCCAACCCTGAAAAGGGATGCTTGCCAATTTGTCCAGAAATGTGACAAATGCCAGCGCTTCTCGAACGTACAAAGACTGCCTGCGCAGAGCCTCTCCATAGTGACCAGCCCTTGGCCGTTCACCAAGTGGGGCATCGACTTCATTGGTCCGCTACCAAAGGGTAGAGGGAGCGCAACTTTTGCCATTGTCGCCCTCGACTACTTCACTAAGTGGGTCGAGGCAGAACCCCTTGCCCGAATCACCGAAGCCAACACTACGAAGTTCGTTTGGAAAAACGTCATCTGCAGGTTCGGCATCCCTCACTCCATTGTCTCTGATAATGGGCGGCAGTTCGACAACAGGAAGATGCGAGAGTTATGCAACGAACTAGGCATAAAGAAAGACTTCTCGACTCCGCATCACCCTCAGGCAAATGGACAGGTCGAAGCAGTGAACAAGACTATCAAGAACACCCTGAAAAGGAAACTGGATGCCTCAAAAGGCGCCTGGGTTGACGAACTCCCCCACGTCCTCTGGGCCATCAGAACGACTTGCCGGACCGCAACGGGTGAGACCCCATTCTCAATGGCCTACGGAGCCGAAGCGATGAGTCCGGTCGAGGTCGGTGTCCCATCACATCGACGGATACATTTCAATGAGATCAGCAACGATGAGGCGCGCATAAG